TATTTGACGAGGAAGTGCCGTGCTTTTAGATGAGGTCAGGCCCTTGGGGCTTAGTTTCCAGTGTCCCCCTTCAATGCACTTTTTCTGCTCAAACCGGGGAAAAGGTTTAATTTTTTAGCCTCTTTACCATGCAGTTTTTGTGCTCAACCCCAGAGAGGTGGCTCAGTTCGCGTCCTCAAGGAGCCGGTACTCTCAGAGTAAAGTTGAGAACTATCTGTACCCAAGAGATCCTAAGGAAAAGGTGCGTGTTCAGTGATACGTGCCAGAGGGATTCACGGTGCTTTTGGAATTTTGTATGAGCAAGTGATTATTCCGTGAGAAGAAAAGCTTGTAAGGGAAGCCATTTGAATTGGTTGGTAAAGACTAAGCAGGGGGAGACTGATGGTTGTACATTGACAGATAGTGGAGGAGATAGAGGAGAGGGGGGGCATTATTTTAAAACAGTATATTTAGAAACTTGCTTTGAAAACTACCCAAGTCATGTAGGATGAAAAACTTGAAGTTTTGAGGGCATCCAGCCCGAGAGGTCACTTTAGGTAATCAGTCAGTTTTTGTTCCAGGCCCCAGTGCCAGTAATTCTTTTCGTTTTTTCATCATCTTCAAATATAAGCCAATTTTCCGTATTCTAGTATTAGTGGAAATTAAAAACAGCTGCTGACTTTCATCTTTGAAATATAATCTTGATGCTTAAAATCATTAACATTGCCTTTCTTCTTTGCAATATTTAGCCTGCATGTCTTTAGCCATTCTCCAAGCTTAATTACTATTTTTGTCTGAGTCTATTTTAAGTTTGAGATCTCCTTCTTAAGTTGTAGAATCTAAGCCAGACATAGTGGCTTCCTGACAGGAGGGGTACGTCTCCAGTACGTCTTCACCCACCCCCTCTATGGCCAGTTGAACTACCCCTGGCACCCTTGCTCCCCAGCTTCCAGCCAGCCCCCCTGCTCCCCACTACTGCTCCGTACCTTGCTTGACCAGACGTGAACACTTCAGCAGATGGTGCAGCATGCCCTCCACTCCTGACATTGGTGGCCTATACTTGCGCACACCACCGCCCTACTGCCCTTGGGACCAGAGGCATGCACTTCTGCACCTTGTGTGTTGAAGACCTGCAACCTTAGTGATTGGCACTACCTGCCACTCAGATCGACCACTACCACACTACCCTAACAGACAATGGTGTGTAGTACCATGCCAAGTGGCTGGGGGTTGGCAGTGTGCATGTTCCTACTTCCTAGGCAGTCTGTGGTATACTGCTATACCAAACAGTGACTGAAGGTGT